AACTGCATATGAAAAAAAGTATACACCGTGTATTTAAATATTTGGTTTATTTGAAGTTAAGCACAAAGCTACACAATGGGCTATCTGTGCTTTGTCTACCACGGGTATCGAAAGCCGGTTTCTAGTGTTATAAGTCCGCAGACATTCCGCTGTGCCACTGTGGGGCATGTTTAAATATACAGTGGTTTGTTTTAAAACATCTCAGAAACACCAAAAAACGAATAGAAGGAAGCAAAACATGGTGTTCAACACAAACATTTAATTTTTTTCTGTTTTAAGATCTTTCTTTGTCCTGTAAAGCATTAACTAAATACAAGTTAAAAAATAATTAGAATACCAAAAGTTCATTTCATTTATTCCAAAAATTTAATTTATACAAACAACAATTTATCTATATTAATCATGACATTTTAATGGATATTTCTTAAAAATAACTATTCTGAGTTTATCTTTTAACACTACAAAACTGTGTTTTTATCAACTAAGCGTTGTTTTTTCTTAAACTGACAGACTTTAAACACAAGCAACTTTCTTATACAAATACTTATACAAAGTTGCATCAGTTGTGAGTTTTCTCCACCATAAATGTTACTTGGAATAGCCAGTGACGTACGCGATATTGGATTCTAGTTTTTGTCTGATTTTGAGTTGTAGATCGGATTCTTTCTTATCTTTGAAATATTTGTGAATTTTGCTCTTATATAATTAGTATATAATCTTTATTTAGGCAGATGTTTCTAAATTTAGTGTGGGTGTCTGCATGTGCTATAAATTTCTTGTTTACCAAATGTCGAAAGGTAGTAAAAATGTAATAATCCTTTTACTCAGGTAAAGAATGCACACGCCAGTAGCTAAAAACTCGTACTAATTAAGCCCTGTGCCTGTCTCCCCTGAGAAGAAGCGAGTCATTTTCAATAGGTGATAAAGACACCTTTCAAAATTTGTGTATTGGGTCTAGAATATGTCGAGGAAGCAACTTGTACATGTGACTTGTGTACATTATGATGTGTACTATTGCCTGGGGCAAGTGGATGGCTTTTCTCACTGTCCTTTGTGTTCGTGGATTCTCACATGTTACTTTGTTTATCATGGCTGGGGTACGACCTGTTTCAGATCTCTTTCTGGATAGTCCTAAACCCAAATTGATTTATATTCATAACATAATCTCTAAGAACAACAAGGGACCTTTTGATTCATCCTATCCCATCCGATTAAGCTAAACACTAAAAAACTCAAAGTCAACCCTCATCATTCAAGTATGTATCAAACTTTCCTTTAATCTATCTTAAACTAACTGCATGCATCTACCACATCTGAAGGCAACCTGTTCCAAGAGTCTACCACCTTGTTAGAAAAATAAAGTTTTCTTAGTTGAAGATGACTCCTACCCTGCCAAAATACATATTTGTGTTCCCTAGTCTTACCCTTATCACCATTAAATAAGAAACAAGATGAGGCATCAACATTTTCACTTCCCTTACCAATCTTAATCATCTCAATCAGATCCCCTTTAACTCTTATTTTTAAAAAAAATCTGAGATTTTAACCTATACTCGTATGGAAGCCTTTCCACCCCATTCTCAATAATTCAAAGGTAAGAAGCCCAAAATTGAATAAAATACTCCAAATATGGCCTAACCAATAACATCTACAATAAAATCATAACCTATTTAGACCTTTATTCAATATTTCTGTAGATACAACCTAAAATTATATTTGCCCTGCAACTAGCAACAGCAAATTGTTTGAGTGGAAACTGATTTTTTTCAAATGAGTAAATTAGGTAGTTTACTGTATTACTGGAGGATTAACAGGGTATATCACGAAATGATATCAAACTTACTCGAAACCAGCTGAGTTTGAGCAAAGAAATAAATAGACTGGACATAACGTGTAGCACACAAAGAAAGCAATCTTTATTTATGTCAAAGACACTGAAACACAGTATATACTTGCATCTGGACGTTAGACCTTCTCGTTTCATTGAATTCATGAAGTGATTAATTAAGCTGACATTCTTTCCTTAATGTCCTTGGTGGGTAAAAAATAAGTATATGGACAAACATTGCTCAAATTTAGGGATTCATTCCCCACTGTGGACAGAGTGCAAATAGCCCAATGTGTGGCTTTGTGCTAAAACAAACAAACAAAAACGTTCTTCAAGATTTATTCCTCCCCGCCAATTCACTCAAGAATTAATGTTCAAATCTAATGCTTCTTAAAGAAAATTTCAGATTTACCCATAGTGATTAACACTTACTATGTGAATAGCCATTCTCAATCAAACATAGGGAAGGCTATAACATCGAGATATCACCTGGCCAACCATTGAAGGGCACTAGCTGTCGATATTGTGCATATTGCCTAGCATTACAATCATGCTCTCCATGGACAAACTGGTATTATCTCTGTACAATGACAAAAGAATGAAGGCAGCTGGAACAAAATCAACTTAACAACTTTCTTGACCATGTGTTATGCGAAAACTTCATAAACATGGAATGAATGAAAAATGTAGAAAAATTATATTGAAATGAGAAGGTAGAAAATGCCTGGTATGCCTAGATACCATACCCCGATAAATATGGGTGAAGACAAATAGTATACTTTCTTCTGACATTGGCAACCAAATAATTCACAATTAAATATATATGTATGTGGTAAACTACACCATTTCTGGTAAAAGATTAGATGACTAACATGTCATGAAATCTATAGATAAGAACTAGAAAGAAGTAAATAGTGTACCTACTACCCATAGGCTTGAACCTACATATTATTGTAACTATAAAATTTTCTCAAACTTAAGATAGTTATGGAAAATAAACGCTTAGTCACCTAATCTAACAATAATCAGGCAGGAGCAGATTACTCCATCTGTTTTTTAGAACAACATTATAGAAAAAAGAAGCTTATACCATATTAAGAAACTGTGAAGTAATAAAAGTCCAAAGAAAATTTTAAGATTTGTTTTTATAACTTTTATAAGAAGCAAAGTTGTAACTTCGCTGAATTGACATAATATAGCATTGACAAAAAGGAGCTGTGGTCCATCGAGGCTGTCCAATCCACTTGACTAAACTTAAAAAGAAACCACACTTTAAAACCAGTCATTATCATATAAACACTTATCAGACCTTCCTTTAAACTCCCTTAAATTTACTTTATCCATCACATCTGAAGGCAAGCCATTCAAAAGGTAACCCCCTCCTGTTAAAAAAAGTGAAACTGTTTTAGCTGTTTGGTATTCTCAGGTTAATGTATTACCTCAAAGTGTTAGGTAATTCCACTTCATAATAGTAGGATCAACAGGATAAGATATGAAGTAAATCTGAGTTTATCTAAACTAGTTGAATTTCAAGTTAAGATATTAAGAGACTAGATATGACCCGCAATACAAAATTAGAACAATTTTTATTTATCCAAAGACACAAAATGAAGTGTACATAATTGCATTGGACACGGGACAATCACTTTTTCAATGGACTTTTGAATTCATAAACAATTTCCTGCCTTCAAAATACCTTTTGATCGACCAACCCAATTAAGACCCAATGTAGTAAAGTTTAAATCTAATGTTCATTACTTAACAGAAAACGTGTGGTTTACCCATAGCAATTTGGGCTACCCATGTGACTGGTCATTCTCATTCAACATATGAGAGGCCATAAAGTATAATTAACATCTGCTCCAACAATGAAAAACAAGATTGTCGCTGGTCTTTTTGCACAACATGTAGCGTTACAGTAATAATAAATACCGCGGGTGAAACAGGTAATATCTTTAGAGAACAACAAAGGAACAAAAGTAGCTATAATAATATCTTTTTTGTTACATGTTAAACACAAATTACAGTGGGCTAACCGCGAATATCGAAACCCGATTTTTAGTGTTATATGCCATCACACTTAACACTAAGCCACGTGGTGGCGCGAGCGAAGTAACTTTACATTTTCTTTGACAACGCGTTATGCAAAAATTGCAGACTCGGACTAAATGAAAATTTTTGAAAATGTGACTATTAAAAGGAGCATATATAAATCGCATGACATGCCTGCATACCACAGTTGAAGATGACTCTTACCCTGTCAAAATTTATACTTACATCCCCTTGTCTTATCATTCTCACCATTAACTACGAAAAAATATGATGCATTAAAACTATCAATTCCCTTAACCATCTTAAACACCTCAATCAGATCCCCTGCCACTCTATTTTTTTTAAAAGAGAAAACAATTTGAAATACCTTGTATGACAATCTTTCCTGCCCCCCCCCTCCCCCCAGCGATATGTCTGCGGACTTACGTTAGAAACCGGGTTTTAATACCCGTGGTGGGCAGAGTACAGAGAGCCCATTGTGTAGCTTTGTGTTTAACTACAAACAAACAAACAGAAAATCTTTCCATCCAAGGTATTATCTTAGTAGCCTTCCTATGAACCTTATCCAACAATTCAATATCCTTCATAAGGTAAGGAGCCCGAGACTGGACACAATACTCTAAATGAGGCATAACCAGTGACATAAACATTGAAATTATAAACACTTCAGGCTTACACTCAATATTTTTGTAAGTTCTGCCTAAAATCATATTTACCCTACCACTAGAAATAGCACACTGCTTCGACTAATCAATTGAAAAATAGAAATTCTATTCTGCCATAACACTATTGAGGTTAATCTAATCAAAATTATACTTATAATTTAAATTATGATAACTCAAATGCATTTATTATAATTAAATGTCATCTGCTATTATTTGTCCATTTCATCAATTAATGTGTATTAAATACGTTATTTAATTTAGCCCCCCTTTGAGTGATATTTTAATGTAACTTTTTTTAAATTACAAAATTTTGATAAATCAAATTCCATTAGTGGTAAGAATTATATTTTTCGCGTTAGTTTGGTTGTATATTTAAATTGAATAAGCTCGCCATCTAGTGAAGTACAAAAAATTATAACAAAACTACAGGGACAAATATATTGCTGCCGCCGATCCCTGTTCTTTTGTCAGTGATATAGAGATACACTGCCGTTTAAATGGATGTAGAAATATATAGAACATTTTTTCGAAACAAGAGTCAATTTCCAGAAGTGACTAGTGAGGGAAATATCGATACAGTTGACTTTCTAGAAGCTTCCAGGGGAATAGTGTCGTTTATTGGTAAATAACTAAGTAAATATCTCATGTACTACTGCGTATACTTATCAGAATATAACAGTCACAGTACTACTACTTACTTACTCATTGCTGCTTGTAGGTTCTACTAGTACTATCAGCCCTTCAGAATACAAGTTACAACTTAAATGCATGCGAAGTTTTTCATAATATTAAAAAAATAACAACAAAAAAACGAAGAAAAGAAAAGAAAAACGAGACTGTAGTTTTACCTTTACACATGATAATGGAAGATGTGATCTGGTTGAACCAACAACTTGTTCAAACTTATCATTTTTGGTTTTGAGAAAATTAATGTTATCTACATGTCTGATGTCAATGATGTAAACACCAACATTGTCCCACAATTTAGATTTTAGATCTTTTATCTGAAAAGAAAAAAATCATTCATCTGAATCAAGTAACTTACTGAAAAAATAAAAGACAGCCTGAATTTTGGGGAAGTACTACTATAGTACTAGCAGTATGAAGAATGTGATACTTTATTTTCAGTCATTTATCCTGTGAGCTTCCACTAAACCTTACAAATTATTATTCACTCATCCTTAAAAGGGTTATATCAATTCTCTGAACATTTCTGTTTGCCAAATTATCACTTCCCTGGAACCATATCTTACAATGATAATCTTATTTAGTGTGTTGTCCTCTGATTATATGATCCCTATCTTATCCTCATTAAGGCAAGAAGGTAACTCATTGGTTATGGAAGGTATGATTCTAGGAGTGGTGCCACGAAATGCAGAAATTTTGGAGAAACAGCATTAAGGATTAGCAGGGGATTATTATTCTGGAGGTGAAGATGATTTAGGAGAGAGGTTTGTAGTGCTGTTTACGTCAGGTCACTTATTGCTCCTAATCCAAAGATTAAAGCCAAGAAATGCAAGTACCAATTGTAATATGTATATGCTTAAGTTAGGTTAAATTCTGTCCTCATATGACAATCTTCATACAAGGTATCATCTTAGTAGTACTCTTTTGAATCCTTTCCAACAGTTCAAAAAAAAAGAAAACAGATTACTTGTTATTAATGTTTTTAGAGGGAAAATCTAACTGGACATATTAAGTAGGTTAGTACTTATTTAAGGGCTCACTTGTATTCTCTTTTGGGAATTTAATTTTTAAAATTAAGTTACTTAGATTAACAATTAGTAACGTGTACTGAAAGTAGAGATGTGGTATACATTTTAACTGTAAATGAGTGTAATGCTAATAATTAAAAGTATCTGTATCAGTTAATAAGGGAATTTAGTGCCAGACTAATCTATAAATTGTGAAGTAGCTTAATTTTAGTTAAATATAGAGTTATTGGGTGGGTTGATTGGAAATAAAGACTAGTAAATCTCAATATGGTAAGAGGTAGTTCATGGGTAATTGGGGTGAGAGTTATAACGTGATAGACCCCAGGATTGGGTTTGAGAATTGTAGGCTAGTTTTTGACTTTTCAGAGACTCGTAAAAGACTTGGCACATACATATGTTAGAGCTTACTTGACGATAATTTGAAGACAACTTTGGGGAGGATTGCTATTATAGGGTTAAATAGCAGATTAGGTGCAGAAACTAAAGGCAGGGAGTGGATAGAGTTAGGATAATGTTTTGGATTAGGAAAGTTTGAGAATAAGAGTGCTGGGTTTACAAAGGTGCACAGTAACAGCAAAGTTAAAGCTGTAAAGACAGGTTCAGGGACCAGTTTAATAGATTAGAACATTAGGCTGCTTGCAGTGAAGAATGAGATGATTGAGAAGTCTACATAGTGGGGGACTCTCTCTCTTTTATAAAATATATCATTAAAATTATTTCTGTAGAGTGTTGTTTAGAAAGAATAGGACTGGAATTTGTTTGGCAGATGTTAAAGTACAGGACAATTTAGCTACTTTGGTACCATGGATGTTCTCGTTTTGTAGCGTGTGTATAGGAATGAATGATGTTGAAAACTCAGCTTAAAAAAGTATGAATAAACCCTTCAGAGGAACAAAACAGATGAATTCAGGGATCTATCTCAAATGGAAAACTATAATGTAGGAATTACTGAAACTTGGTTAGATTTGGAGAATGTGGATTATTGGAGTTATTTCGAAATTCCAGTTATAGAATACATTATTTAATAGTGGGAGAATTTTGAAAAGAGAGGGCTAGGAGTTTTTAATATAAGGGATGAATTGTAACATTTTAGGATTTAAGATAAAAAAAATGGCTGTCAAGAAGATGGATCTATATGAATCATATTCAAGGCTTATAAGGGTAGAAAGTTTTTAACTGGAAATTGTTATATGCCACATATTCAGACACGTCAGGTCAATGAGAAATTGTATAATAAGCTCATTGTTGCTACTAACAACGAAACTGATGCAATAATGAAGAAGGCTTTAATTTTTGATACATTTAGTTGGATTGTATGAAGCCAAGTAGTGAGGGAGAAAGATCTTGAAGCTTTTCAGAATAGTTTCAAATGTTAAGAAAGCCAACTAGGGAGGAATAGATTTATTGTTAACCCTAATGGTTAAAAAATGCATTCTAATCTTATAAGTAAGAATGCAAGAAAAGTATGTTTAATTAGTTATACTCATTACCAGATTGATTTTCAGTTTCACTCTAAAGTGGTAGCTTGCCCTGATTGAAAATCAATATTAACGGATATGATTGTAAGAGTTGAACTAAGGGAATCATGATCATTGTATAATTAATACAATGCCTGTGATATTTTAAAAGTATGTTTAATTAGTTATACTCATTACCAGATTGATTTTCAGTTTCACTCTAAAGTGGTAGCTTGCCCTGATTGAAAATCAATATTAACGGATATGATT